ACGCTGTGTTGATGCAATAATGTATTAGAAAATTGCAAATCTGACTTCAAAATTACAAGAATGGCAAAGTTTCTTCTTCATCTTGCAAAATTGTCAGTTTCTTTTTCTTCCTTTCTTTTTTTTCTGTTGTTTAATAGCTTTGTGTCAAGCACCTGCAGCTAACTTTAGACTAGTGAAATTGTCAGTTTGCGGACTCGACAAGCGGTATCGTTCTAACCCACTGATATGCAAAATGATGCAGATACTTTAATCATCGATTATTCATCATAGCTTTGAATGGAATAGTATCCATAGCCGACCACTATACTACATGTCGTGCTTTGCGATGAATCGGTAGATCCGCCAACGGAAATGTTGCATGTGTGAGGAATTTGCGATTTGACTATTGTTTCTGATGTAAAAGTTTGCGAGAAACACGATGGTGTCACTGGTTTTCTCTGAAATCAAATCCCAAGCTCAAAAAAGCTCTCAAGTTGAGGCCAAAATGGAGGGGATATCCCACGCTACCCTGAGAGTCCACGTCTACATCAAGACAAACTCTCCATGCAAAGATAGGGAGCAAATACATTGGCAGGGTTGCCGTATATTCAGTTTTAGAGTCCCCACATAAAGTGGCAGCCCTGTCAATATATTTGTTTCCTATCTTTGCATGGAGAATTTGTCTTGATGTAGACGTGGACTCTTAGGGTAGGGTGGGATATCCCCTCCATTTTGGCTTTAACTTGAGAGCTTTTTTTGAGCTTGGGAGTTGATTTCAGAGAAAACCAGTGGTACCATCGTGTTTCTCGCGAACTTTTACATAAGAAACAACAGTCAAGTCGCAAATTCCTCACACATGCAACATCTCCATTAAACCCGCACGGAAAAGGATCGATTATCAGGATACACCTCAAAAATCGATTCTTAACCATTTCTTCGAATGAGGAAAAATCGATAGCCGACGACTCACGCTTCCCCACTGACGACACGCCCCTCTCGACTCTTCAGCCAACGGCGATGGGATCGCTATTGGCGTGGATTTGAATCAAAACGAACTAAGTGCATTATGACATGGACCCTGGGGCTCGTAAGAATACACAAATAACAGAGCCCACGCCGCGCTGTGGATAGTTCCTCTCGACTTAAACCCGTCCATTCTTCCGTCACGTCTTTCTGAACGCGGATTTTATCCGCTCGCATGGTAGTGCCTTTATGATCGGGCTTTTATAAAGATGCCGAGAGGCACCGTAAAATGACTGAAATGGAGGAAAAGGTAAAAATAAATCTCCGAATAATACACTCGGTCGCTTCGTCTCCAGTTTACGAGCGAAAGGGACTCGCGATCGCAATCGGAGCCGCGCTCCCAATTCGAGGAGGAACGTCGTATGTGCCTCCAGACGTTGCCAAATTTCCCTCAATAGGATCCATATTTTGGATGGAGGTTGTGAATATTTGGATTGCATTTTGCAAAAAGGAACCACTAGCATTGCAATGATGCTGAGTTTGTGCAACTTCATCTTTTGCAATAAAATTGCGGAAATCGTGAAAAACTATGCAATTTAGATGGATGGTTTTTTTATTTGGACGGATTTTTTTGGATTTTTGTCTTAAATTTACAGTTTTTAGCGAGTAAAATAGAAACTATTAATCGGGGTTTTCCTCCAAGACAAAAGAAGTTGCACTATCTTAGCAACATTGCAATGCTAGTGGTTCCTTTTCGCAAAATGCAATCCATTTGTCTTTCGAAACTGCACGAATTTTTTTTTTCCGCGATTTGATCGAAGGGATCTGAAAATTTCACGGAAGACGATCTAAAACTTCTCTCGCGGTTAAGTGTTTTACCAGGGGAGATTTGGCAGCATTTGGATGCTTACACGGTGTTTTTCCTCGGCACGGCAGAGATCTTCCTCGTATGCTGCTGTGCTGAGGAAAAACGCCGTATGAGCCTTCAGACGTTGCCGAGTTTCCTTCGATAAAAACGCCGAAATTACTGGGAAATTTGTGAGTATTTGCTTCCAAAATTTTCAGACAGTTTTGTACGCAATTCAATCTGAAATATCTGAAAATTTCAAGGATAAATACGCGTAATCTTTCTCAAAAATACAAGTTTCATCCGTGGCGATTTGGCAACTCTCAAAGGTTCAAAAGGCGTTCTTCCTTAGCACGGCAGTATGGTCATTCTCATAAGTTGGCAACAATGGACTTCGCCTACTTAAGGTGAATCTACACCGGAAGTGAAAAAACATCAAGATATCGAGCAAATTTTGCTAAATTGCAGGTTTCACTTTGAATTTTTGGCAAAAAGCGGATCCATTACGCCAACACAGTTAGGAATTTCCGTGCTTTTGATTACGTCGGTGGTGAATTTGGGGGCGGAGGCATGGTGGTATCCCCCTATCGGGACAAAGAAAGAGGAGAATGAGCAAAAAGAGAGTGGAAATAACGTAAAAAATAATGGTTATTGGACGTGTTTCTATCAAACGGAACTATGTGCATTCAGACATGAGCCCTGCGACCCATAAGAATAAATGCATAACAGGGCTCACGTCATAATGCACATAGTTCCGTTTGACAGAAATACGTTCAATTGTTATTGGATTCCTGATTATTACACATTATCCCCCGGAAGTATAGCAGCCGGTGCTGAGGACTGATTATTGAAATGATACACAAAGCAATAGCGAAAGAGGGCAAAGAGTAAATGAAGCGATCCTATTAGTGGAAGCGGGTGATTAAAAATAGACAAAAGGGGTAAGAAATAGACTAACTGAGGGCAACCCGCAAGAGACCACTAGTTAGCCCATCACATTCCCTCTTGGTCTATAAAAATCACCCGTTTCAACCGATAGGATCGCTTCATTTTTCCGTCGTCTTCTCTGTCTATTGGTTAGTCTATCAATTTCAATGGAGATGTTGCATAAGTAAGAAATTTGACTGATGATTCTTGTGTAAAAGTTTGCGAGAAACACGATGGTCCCACTGGTTTTCTCTGAAAACAACTCCCAAGCTTAAAAAAAGCTCTTAAATTGAGGCCAAAATGGAGGGGATATCCCACGCTATCCTGAGAGTCCACCTCTACATCAAGAAAAACTCTCCATGCAAAGATAGGGAGCAAATACATTGACAGGGCTGCCACTTTAGTTGGGGACTCCATAGCTGAAAACACGGCGACCCTGCTCATGTATTTGCTCCCTATCTTTTCATGGAGAGTTTGTCTTGATGTAGAGGTGGACTCTCAGGATAGCGTGGAATATCCCCTCCATTTTGGCCTCAACTTAAGAGCTTTTTTTGAGCTTGGGATTTGATTTCAGAGAAAACTAGTGGGACCATCGTGTTTCTCGCGAACTTTTACATAAGAATCAACAGTCAAATCGCAAATTCCTCACACATCCAACGTCTCCATTATTAGCCCGCAGATTCCATGGGAGATAACAGGAATCTAGAAGCCATTAAGATTACTTTTCATTGGTACAGATTTCATATCTTGTTGCTTTTTGTTTTCGAATTTGGGTCTTTACCGAAATTTTTAATGACGGAGTCAGCCTCTGTAGAGACATTGGCGGATCAGGAACGGTGAATGGAGGGGGAGGGGGGTCGGCCGCCCCTTCCATTTACCGGAAGGGTGTTATTAAAAGACGAAGAAAGCCGGGAAGAGTGTGAAAAATCTCCTTTCTAAGTGCCAAAATTAGCCCCCCTCTTCCCCGCTCGGGGTTCCCGGATCCACCTCTGATGAGAATACCACATTAATTCGGAGAAAAGAGCTAATTAAATATTCATTTTCTCAGGAGGTAAGTTTAATGGCACATTAAGACCTTTTATTTTTAACAGCAGCGGCGCCTCTTCCCCCAAGTCGCAGGGAACTGCCTTCAGAAATTTAGGAGGAAGTAAGCTTCGCCGGAGTGAACTTGGGTTTTCTGGATTTTTGGAACGTTGCGGAAACGGAGGAAAAGCGGCGAGCAACGCTGACGTGCTAAGGGAGAACGTCGTATGAACATTCGAGAGTTGCCAAATTTCCTTCGGTAAAACGTTCATTTTTGAAGAAAGTTATGAATATATTTCCTTGAAATTTTCGGGAACTTTAGGTGAAATTGCGAGCGAAATTATCCTAAAAATTGGAAAGAAAATATTCATAAGTATGCAAAGATATTCATGTTTTATCAAAGGAAATTTGGCAACGCCTGGAGATTCATACGGCGTTCTTCCTTAGCACGGCAGAATTCGGATGAGTCTTGTAAACTTGAATGCCGCGAATAAGCACTGCCGTAAGTAAGCAATGTTCAACGGAAGAGAGCCGATTTTCAAGGGTCTGCTCTCAGGAAGTGATCGTTAATTGGAGTGCATTTTGATCCACACCGTAGAGGTTGTTGCCCAAACTGGGTTTTATTCGCACCATTTCATTACTAAATAAGATGCCGACATTGCATTTCACTCTAAAATTTCTAACGGAGAAACCAGTGTACAAAACAGAAAAAAAAATTTTTTGGGGGGGCCGGGGAGGGACGGGGAGGTGGTGTCAAAAAACTCCCTCTTTATAATAACTTCCATACTTTGTTAATACATGAAAATTACGACTTGCCGGCATTCGTTTGATATTATATATTCATTCAGTAAGCTTACTTAAAGTACATCGACCGGTCTAAAATTATGGAACCCACAGTTTGAATTAAAAAGAGGAAAAAATTCACAAATTGACGCTCTACCCAAAGAGCTGAACATTGGAATGGATAGATAAAGCTTTACACTGAGAGGACAACGGAAAAGTGGTACGATCCAATTGGTTGAGACGGGTGGTTCTTATGGACAAAGCGGGAAATTTGTGAACTAACTACAGGGCCTCTCGTGGTCGTAGGTTGCCGTTAGTTACTCTATTGCATACCCTCTTTGTCTATTACAACCACCTGCTTCCACCAATAGGATCCACTATCTTCACCATTTTCCCTTCGTCTTTTTTGTGTATCGCTTTGCCTGTCAATGCCAATCAGCCAGCAGGGAGTGAACTTGATGTGAAATTTTCTGCTTACCTTTGGTATTTTGGCAAATTTCCCAGTCCTCACATCCCTCACGGAGGAAATATCAAGAAGGTCCACATCCTGTGAAACAAAACAAAAAAATAATAACAAATATATAATATAATTGATTTCTATAAACCGGGCGCAAAAACAAGACAAGGAAGTTAAGAAAAATAAAAGATGTTATCAATCGCTTGTCTACGCGGGGACAAATCGGCGGTAAAACTGCACAGCAAAGGTATGTATCTAGATTGCGCTATTTCAAAAATTCCCCTCTCACTTAATGTTATCACAGAGGAAAAAATCAACGCTATAGCTCGAAATTTTCTCAGAAGTTTTCTTATACGAAGAGAAGAAAAATCAGAGAATTTTTCGAGAAATGACGATGAGTACCTTTTCATTCAAAAAAGCAATTGTGAAAGAAAGTACAGCGTCGCAAACCAAAATACGCGATTTTTCAATGTTATCGTCAAAAAATTTCGATGGAAAGTACGGAAAAATACTGTAAACGCTGAGTGGAAATGTTTGTACACTTTTTTCATTTTTTTAATTAGACATTGTAAAATTTATATAAATTAAAATAAGAATTTTTTGTCGAACATTTTGGATTGGTCGCAATTGCCAATTGCCTAATTGCAATATGAAGATAGAATCTGAACGTAAAGATAAGAGATTTCCGACATTTTGATCAAGATTCAAAATTTTAAGAAGGAAAATTGAGGAGCATTCGAATTATCACCCGATGCTCTTTCCTAGCGCGGCAAAATAAAGTCAGTGTGTAGTTCATTAATGTTAGCATACCGCCAATGGCGGAAAATTTTATCATTTCGGACAATCAACTTCTTCTTGTAGGTTGTAACGCTCACCCAAGAAAACGATAAATTTGAAAGATTTGAAAATTCAGAGGAATATTCATTCATAAAATTTTACAAAGATGTGGAAAAAATGAAAAATATTACCAGAAGCTGGCTAAGCAACACGCACAAAAGAACAACAAAAAACAAAAAGCAATTTTTTTTGCATTTAATTTAAAAAATTATTTTTCAATATTTTCGATACATTTTCATGAAATTACAAGATTTGATTTTTCATGAAAAAGTGCAACCCTGCAGTTCTGCGCTCACCCCGTTTTTCTTAAGGAGAGATGTTTCGGTTGAAAATCAACAGTTCAGACTTGCCACTTGAAAGTTCTTTTCAAAACCCTCAGGAATGGGCCGAAATATCCTTCAAAAACCTACATTTTATATAGTGCACATTTTAAGTCAAAGATCAAAATGCTCTTCCTCAAAATGGATGACAAATGACGCGGAACTGTGCACCCATTAAAAAAAAGTGCATTCCTCTAGAGTCGCATCCGTCACACTTACTTAAATGCATTGCTCTCACATTTAAAACGGGGCCTTGGGGACACTAATTTCCTTTTTTTTTTCGTCACAAACTCGGTCAGCTCAAATGCTCCGATCTGTTTTGGTGTCCTATTTAAGGTGAATCCATAACGGAGGTGAGTTAATTTCTTGAAATCCTGGCTCCGATTTAAATTGCTGGCGAAAACGAATCGATTGTGTGAAAACTATTGGAGACCTTGCTTCCTCTTTCATTCCCTAATGCTTTCCACGAGAAAATTACTAAATGACGACCCGAGGACCTCTATTATTTTTCTCCAGAGCCTCTGGGAAAAGAAAATTAAATTCTTACGGTGACGCGTTTCTTCGGATTTCAAAATTTAATGTTGTTGTCCTCAGGTTTTTCCCTATGATTTTTCATACATATGTACCAGTTCTTCGAACATAAATTTTTAGGCGCAAAGTCTCTCACAATTGAAAAAATGTAATTTTTCAGCTGGGAGAAAAGATTCCTACGTTCCTACGTTCCAAACAGAAATTGTTTACTTTTTCCCTGACTTTTCAAGTGCATGCTACCACTGTATATTTTTTTTTCTTCTTCTTCTAACCCCCCCCCCCTCAAGTATATTTTCATCGATCTAATTTTTTGCGATCTATGTTTTTGCAAAAAAAAGCGTTCGACCGAAAATGTTGCATCCGTGCACTAGAAAACTCCACAGCCTTCGGGCATGCTGCTCTCTGTTCCTGGGCGATGGATATATCCTTGATATTTGCCGTCCTTTTATCGTATATCAAGTAATTAAGTTGTTATTTATATGCCTAAATATCTTTAACAATACTTATCTTATGTTATATACTTATCTTATGTAATATATGTAATATTTAAATACGATAATAAAGATAGAAGGGGAGTGTCCCTGATAAAAAAAAAAAAAAAAAAAAAAAAAAAAAAAAAAATGCTGCTCTCTGTCTTGGTATGAAGGCACGAAGTCGCCGTAAAAATCAGTGGCGTAACGTGCTTTGCGATACATCGATAGACCTGTCGTTTAAACCTATGGAAAAGGATCGATAAACAGGGTATTCGCGACTCACAATTTGATAATCGATTCTTTACTATGGCTTCAAATGGGGAAATATCGATAATCGATCATTCACGCTTCACCACCGGTAAAAATATGATGGATTTCAACCCTGGGGAAAAATCTTGCTGGAAAATTTGAACTAGAAGCTGTCGAACTTCGCAACCGACTTTGAAGTACACAGCTTTTGACCGCTCTTTCCTTTAGAGTCGTGCTTGAAGCACATGCTGAACACAAGCACAAAAGGCAGCGCCCCCTTTGTTCCTAACGGCGAGGAACAAAGCTGGGCGGTGTTCGGTGATTTTAAAAATCTTCAGTGCTCCGTCGCACAGTGGTGCAAGCCGTCGAGAAAGGTCGGACATAAATTTCATTTACGAAAACTGCAAAATTTTTATGTTTATTTCGCCAAATGAGGGACTTGGAGGACAATGCGCATTAGTGCAGTTTAGNGCTGGCAACGGCTCACTTTCGACAGTGCTAACTGGCTTTTGTACCTCTGGCCCCCGACATGGTCTAAGTCGACCGACCGGGTTATGTACAGTTACATTCAAGATCTCTCATTCGTTTGGGGGGGTTTTTATAGTTATTTTATCCGTTAATTTTTCCCACTTTTTACCCATTCTCGTCTCCTTTTCTCTTTGTTGTAAATTCTGTTGCCCATCTGGCCTGTTTTCCACAAATGTCTTCTGCTATTTGCTCATTTCTCTTTTATCTTGTCATGTAATTCTGGTTAGGCTGCTTCACATGGTGGCTTTTAGTTCATAATAGGCTCTAAAAGTGGTGTATATATATATTATATATTATATATAAGTTCATACAAAGTTTTCAAAGACCCGTAAGGTCTATTAACATACTTGTAAATGTTCTATGTATTTACAAATAAATAAAAATAAAAAAAAAATATGATGCCATTTGGAGGGTTTGTTTCCACCTTCATTTAATGTAGACCAAATTGGGCCTCCTATGAAAAGGGACTGTTTAAGAAGCAGTATGGGGATGACCCTTTAACTTGGGCTTTTAAAGGTTCTGCACAGCAGCAATTCCAGCAAGTTGGCAACATTGTTAGTACTCCGTTAAAAGCCATCGAATATATCGATTTCACGCGAGGCAGGCAGCCTCAGTGCCTCACTTGCATTCGATTTTTTTTTACAATCATTTAAAAGGAGGAAACACAGTTTTGCCAACTTACAAGGATCACCACTGATTCTACACTATGCACTGGAAAAAAAAAACATTGGATCTAGAGTCCAGACTCTTAAAAACATTGACAAGAAAAAATATTCTTGATTCAATCGGATTTTTGCTTAGATCAAGAACGAAGCCTCCTAATTTGAGCGGATTTCCTTTTGATGTAAGCTTAAATCTGATTGAATCAAGAGTATTTTCATTGTCAATGTTTTCGGGAGTCTGGACTCAAGATCCAATGTGTATTTTTTTCCAGTGTGTCCAATTTCCCCTTTTGTGCGCTGTCGCTAGGTGTCTGAGGGGACGGGGTCGGGTTGGCTAATTGTAAGCTTCCGTGGCAATTTCAAGCACAAGCGTGTGACATTATGACACTGCCTGACGCGACGTGTGTTAGCCGGAACGGGGGCTCCTAAAAAGGCAGATTGTCTTGCCGCGTAGCCCTCACAGTATGCAGCATGAAGATAAAGAGAGGAATATAGCGAGTCATCACGCGGAAAGTCACGCACTGAAAAAAAATTTTCTTGAGGAATTGTTTCGACTTACAGCGTCGTTTCGTGTCGACAAAATTTGGTTTTTTCCAAGTTAAATCCGTGCGGATTTAACCTAAAGTCAGTTATTTTTGTGTTAGCCCTCGCAGTATGCGGCATAAAGATAAAGAGAGGAATATGGCGAGTCGTCACGCGGGAAGTCACGCACTGAAAAAAAAATTTCTTGAGGTATTATTTTGACTTAAAGCGTCGTTTCGCGTCGACAAAATTTGGTTTTTTCCAAGTTGAATCCGTGCGGATTTAACCTAAAGTCAGTTTTTTTTTTGTTGTTAAAGAAACGTTGTTTTGCTATTGTTTCTTTAACTTAAACTTAACGATAGAAACCGACTTCAAATTTCAAAAAAGAAAACGCGCTGAATATGCATATACACATCTTATGATTTCATACCATGACAATAATTTGTCTTATTACGATGATCATTTTTGTTGTGATAAGGGAAAAAATTTTTCGAGATCGTTTTCCTCGTCAAGACAACAAAATATCACGGCAAGAAAACTTGCTATTATACACAGTAATGAAATTTTATCACAGGTGCATTTTTCACTTTTTCACAAAAAAGTACATCTAGGTTCACATAAAAATTAGCTGAGGCGTCGCCATTTTATCTTATCTGTCTGTTTCTTCAATCTAAATAGAGACGTAAATCAAAATTCGAGCAGTTTTGGCGGTGCGAAATTGAAACATTCCCAAAATTGCAATAAATTATTATTGTATTGCTTTTCATGGAAAAGCGTCGTTCTGTTTAAGTCCCTGAACTTAAAACCTGATGCATGTTTAAATCTGTAATCATTTTCTCGCCGTTGAACAAACGTCTTCCTCCTCCATAAAATTTAAAGATTTTGTGCAGTGTAGGTTTCCTTGGCACGCAGTCCTGTTAGAGTAAGCTTTATTTCAGTGTTGTGCAGCAACCTGTGTTATTCGTAAT